TAAGTTATCGGTAGTGTAGCAGCTCTTGTAAGCTTGTAATTCTACTTGTCGTCATTGCAGCAGCTGTTATAGTTCAAAGGCTAGGGGGCATTGTCACTGTTGTTTGTTCTATTGTCCTCTCAAAAGGTTTCAAGCCATTCATGTGAGACCTCACGAGGGTTGCAACATGACCCTAAGTTGTTTTTACATCACACACGACTTCAGAAATCCTAGGAGGGTGTATTCCCACAGGACTAAACAGTCATAACACAAACTGAAACACAACAGGAATAGCAGCACCTAGTAACATTTCCAAGAGCAAGAACCATCGAATCTTCTGATGCTAAAATGTGTCTTGATCTAAATAGGAAACAACTCCCACGAACCTGTGAATCGAGAATCTGTTGCCTGCATCAGGATCTTCAGGAGGCCATTGTCCATAAGCTGAATTATCCTAGCAAAAGTGATATGATATTAGTTGAATTCCACGATGCGAAGAGGGAGAGAATGAGAACGAGAGCGAGATCGAAAACGAGGCCCTGACAGCGAATCATCAAAAGCGCATGCGCGACCGTAAGCACTTGCGTAAGGCTGAGCACGATTCAAAATTGTCTAGATCTGTTCAGTACGTCAATGGCTCTAAAAACGTGCTCAGGCTAAACATGTAATGACAGCGTTAAATTCCAAATGGAAATACGAAAAATTAGTCGTCGTCGTTCGCGTTTCTCAGACTACACAGAACTTGGTCATTGACCTTAATTATGTTAACACGCTTGTAACACCAACGCCATGCAAGCCCGATGAAAAGCAAAATATTGGTTAAGACCAGTAGAAAAACAAAGGGAAAATGTATGAAAAAAATTTTTAGATGGAGGTAATGTTCTCTTACCTGATCATAGTTATGGGATTCTCCGTAGTCTCTTTTGGATGTTCCTCCGGCTTCTAAGGCACCTTTCCTTGCACCTGTACAAAGACGGAGATTATAAAATAATAATGATAACAATAACAATGACAATAACAATAACAATAACAATAACAATAACAATAACAATAACAATAAATAAATAAATAATCAAAACAAGAACTTTATTAAAATCTCCTCAGAAAACCTATTTGCAAATCTTCACATTCACTTATAATGATAAAGATGATGATGACGATGATAATAAGAAAATATTCCTAACAAGGACATAATTGATAGACAGTGAAACTTCATTTCAAATTGATTCAAACTAATTTGAGCCCCAGAGCGGACCAACACTCAGCGTCTTCAAACAACAGAGGAGAATGCGCAAATGGTTAGACGTTCAAGTCTTTCGGATAAGGACTATAAACCATAGGCTCCGTCTCGTGAATCTCCAGTGTTACAAGGTTAGCAGGGGACGTTAAAGAACCCACACACTTATTGCAAAGTGTAGGGTATGTAGTTCCCGGTGTTGTGGCCTGGCCTTGTCTCACGGGTTGGTGCTTCAAATAGGGTTAACCTCATTGCACCTTCCCCCCTTGGATAACAGAATTGCCCAAGAAATCTTGCCATGTTTATGTCATGTATTTATGTCTAAATCCTAGGGCGTACCAAGAGAAGATGGAGGCTAAGAGAGTTAATGAATCAAAGAAGCCTTATTCCTAAGGTATCAGTATCCCTCTCAAGTTATTTTTAGTTCACTCCGGGTTAAGAAATCCCAGGAGGATTTGCAGTGAAACCTGTATTAAGCGGACCCCATATTAAAGATGATTTCCAGTCCGTACTGAGCAATCTCGAGAGTTTGATTGCGTTTTTTTTGCTTTGTTTCATGTAAGACATAACAAAATGTAAACATTTCGCAAATACTTACATGAGGTAAATTCAAAGTTTCAGAACAACCGCCATTATGGATACGAAGCGGTCGAAGTTTTATGCTTCGTTCTTACTCAGCGGACACTGACATTAAGCCATTTTGTTACACAAAACCTGCAATAGGCGGACACTTTAAGGGCTGTTTACTTCTCAAAGCTCAACTCAGACTCCTTTAACATTGTTCAGCGATGTCGTTTTAAAGCTAAGTAGATTATTCCAGATTGATGCACTGACTGACTGGAAATTGTGCTATGAGCAGTCTTTAATCTAACACTGTTTTACGCTGAGTTACAAAAGGGTTAATAATTTTACAATATTATTGCACAACGTATTAGAACCTGCTTACAGCGGACACCCTGTATTAAGCGGACACTAGTGAGTGTCCCAAGGGTGTCCGCTTAATACAGGTTTCACTGTATAAATAGCCAATCCTGTGACGCAAATTTCACACGCGAGGACAGCACAAGCGACTTTACACGCGTTTTCATCCTCCACGAAAACAAACTCGCAAGGCGCGTTGGAACGTTATCCGCGGGAGGACTGGGTGCCATATTCGAAGTAACTTAATAATATGGCCTATATGGCGGAGTAACTCTCTCTTCATCCTCTCTTGGATGAACTTAATCCCGCATTACACAATTATTTCCCTGAGGCGAGGGAAAGAAAAATAGAGGAAACAAGCGCGTTCGTCGTATATCCTTGTGTAAGCACTCGACGGATTTCCAAGTTTTGTTCTCCAATCAAAGATTTGACAACGACTTCAGAGCATTCTCGAGCACTGCAGAACATTTCCAAGAACTCCGAAAGTTGTCAAGTCACGCGACGCTGAAAATCAAATAATTCTTAACATTGCTTAGCAACACGTATTACAATTTTCAAATGAAAGAGTCGTTATTTTAAAATATCGAGAAGTTGCTCGTTACCAGTTTTCCGCGATACTGTTGTCACCATGGACTGCATGGCTTCGCCGATAAGACTTGCAGAGAGAAATAGATCATTATGTACATCCACAGGCATGTCTGAAAACAAACACAATTAGAGTCAAACCTCTCTTTATGGACCTGTTGTTACAAGGTCTGCATAACACAGACACTTCTATATTAGAGACAGATGACTTAGTCACAGAGAACTTAAAGCAGAATTCATAAACCATGGACACTTCTACCACACATGTACAGAAAACACTACATATCATTACAGACACCTCTGTAATACAGACACCCAGCTCTGCCCTTCTGGTATCCGTCTTAAAGAAGTTCGACTGTATTAGTATTTTAAAATGTAAACTTTAAAATTGACGTTTTATTCCATCATTCGTCAGCATGACTTTTCAGCACCACTGTACAGACAATGAAACAAATATTGTAACTTACCCGCTTGATATTAAAGTAACGAAAATAGAATTACCTGAATGAACGTCCAGAGGAAAAGCTGAAGTCATTCTGTCCACAATGTTGCTTAACTCCATTCCTTCATACGAAGTGTCTGGTCGGTCTAGAAGTCCTAACTCTGCAGCTGTCTTGGGGGCAAATAGACTACTAGACGAGGCCCTCCGGACAGCACCGAGTGGTAATTGTGAGTACGAGTCTCTCCAAGGAGGGGTTATACCAGGCGACAATGAGTACTGTGGGGGATACGCTTGAATTGAAGGACCCGGGGTTAGGTAGGCGGCTTGGGGAACGGTGGTAGGACGAACGGGAGGATAAGTGGGTGAAACACGCGGTACAGTTGATGAAGGGTAGGTACCACCGGAAGCATTTACTGTCGATGAACCCATGCCGCTGTTCGGCTGGGAACTCGTCAGGGGGGCCATGACAGTGCTGTCTGCGGTAGACTGACCGGTGAAAGGGTTAGATGAAGACTGAAGCGCCGACTTCATTGGAGGAGAAAGCTGCAAAACATCACCCTAAAACGAAGAACAAGCTTCAGCGACATGTGTACCTAACTGTTGCGTTACACTTTCGCTGAATGTACTGTACTTTTGTAGCTGTTGATACACAAGACGATAGGAACTAGAAAGACTTCATTTTGTGTATAAAATGTGTCATAAAAAACGCCAAAATCCACGCCAAACAACAGCAGCAGCAACAACATCAAAAACAGTTTCGTGCTTGTTTCTTCCTCAGTGGATTTCCCACTGACAAGCGGCCAAAGCTGAAACATGTTTGTTTGTTTGTTTCATTGAAGAAAGCTACTCTTCGTCTTGTGGTTTAAAGCTCAGCCCGTTGGACTTGATATCTCCAGCTGCTGAAGAGTTTGAGTCCTGCAGGTAAAGGTCTCGAATTACTGTGTTTGGTGTGATCTTAGGATGAATAATTTACTCCTAAAATGCCTCCTAATTTCTCCCTTCAGCACCTGTATTTTCATCCGTCTGTTTACATCGATACCGGGCAATTTCTTGGGAAATTAACAAATGTCCGCTGCTCTACCAACAAAGCTATGCAGCAACACATTGGCAGCATACATGTGTTATATTGAAAATTTTCGTGAAAGAAATAAAATGACAAACGGTGTACATGGATGAATACATATATAGACTGTGAACAAAGTGTAAGAGAAGAAAGAACCCTCAGAGCTGCAATTTTAAGGTCATTCCACTGAAATAGAACCTGCAATGAGATTTTTGTGAAACTTTGCCTATTGATTGTTTATATTATAGGAACTTATATTTTGAAATAAAAATGAGGGTCCCCATGTTCGTTTAGGAGCAACAGCACCTTGTTTATACCCATATAAATCCTTATAATAGCACCATGATTGTAGTTACGATTGCTTGCAAAATTCACGTTTCCGACGATTGCTTTTTGTTCTACACTGAGAATTGGTCCATATTTATTTTACACAGAGACATTTAATACTCAATTCAAAACAACAGAAAAAAAATGATAGGTCACCAGACTCGTTTGCGAGAAAATGACGATTTATCTCTATGGCGAGGTCCGGTTGTAAAGAAAAAGCCGCCATTTCTAATGCGCGCGCGCTAATCACGCGTGAAATTATGCGCAGTAGGGACGCGCAAAGCATTACTGGGGAATAACCTTAAAAGCAGTTTCAAAGAAGACTGGGAAAAATTTAGGGCTTCAACGAGATGAATCTACGACCTCTGCGCTCCTGTAGGTAATGCTTGACCTATTGAGCTCATAACCAAACTACAAGAAGAATTTCTTCACTACATTTTCTTCGCAATTTTAAAACACGTGATTTAAATTCATTTCTATATAAAGAAGAAGAAGAAGAAGAAGAAGAAGAAGAAGAAGAAGAAGAAGAAGAAGAAGAAGAAGAAGAAGGAAGCAGAAGAAGAAGAAGAAGGAAGCAGAAGAAGAAGAAGAAGAAGGAAGAAGAAGAAGAAGAAGAAGGAAGCAGAAGAAGAAGAAGGAAGCAGAAGAAGAAGAAGAAGAAGAAGAGGAGGAGGAGGAGGAGGAGNAAAAAAATTCTTTGAAACGCTTTCTAAAACTCCCTGCTAAAAGAAGAGCTCCATTTAACTTCGTACTGGCTGTAACCAAACTGGCGAGAGACACGGTCCTTTGGTCGTGTGTTGCACTGGGAGATTTCCCGTGCATCTTATGTCGTTAAGTCTGCTCTTCGCGTGTTTTAGTGTGAACGGGTGACGACGAAACGAATACGATCGTGTGAACAAGACCTCAAAGCCTCCGACAAAGCGATTAAATGAGCGGGTGTGCTCGTAGCAAGCGTGCGACTCTGGAAATGACACAAGTGTTTTCATTTGGTCAGGGTATGCAAGTTAGCATCAAATTAAAAAGCTTAGCTCTTTATTCCTTTCTTTTCCGGCCTTATTCCGTCCAAATGAAAACTTCTACGAGAAAAACTTGACATGCTTTAACTTTTTTTGCTTTTGTAAAAATACTTTACTTGACGTTCCAAGTTTACTGGATTCGGAGCCACTCGCTTGGAAAGAACAAACCCATTCAATTTGCTGCTGTCTCAAAATTCTCTTCGTAACAGAAATCAAAACAAAACAAAAAATTTAATGTGTACTACCGTAGATGGTTTGAAGTTTGCGTCATCTTTACATATCTGAGCCATGCGTTCACAGGCAAACTTTGCCGCCATTTTCTCTTCGTCTCTAATAAGACCGGAAAGTGTGTTTTCTTCCTAAGATAGATAAATGATACCATACCACGGGTTTTAAATTGAATAGTGTTTTTAATGATTACTGGTTATTACAAATGTGTTATATAAATTAAGTTTAACTTGGGTTTACAAACAAGCAAGCAGTTTAGATTAAGTTAGTCTGGCAAGCAGAGATATCTCTTCCAGCGCTCAGTTCTTCCCTCGCTCAAAACACGTTTAGGACTCCATTTCTGAGACTGGACCCAAAAAGATCCATACATGACGATGTTTTACAAAAATCCGTAAATTGTCTCTGATTGGTTGTTATTTTCGCGCGAAATTTCAAATCCGGCATAAACCAATGAAAGACTCACACGGATATCCGTAGAGCTACGTCATAGCACTACGTCATCAGAATCCAATTTTTCGGCTCCAGCCCTCTCAGCGAGGGAGGAATTGAGCGTCCAAGAGAAAGTCTGTTATCAGAGATTAAATTTTTACACAATTGTGCTTTGTCAAGGCTTAGAATGATGCAGTTTAATGTGTTACTTACCAATGTTCGGAGGATTTAGCACAGTTTCAGTTTTTAAAAGTTCATCTTACAAGCACATGTTAGGTTAAAAGCCTTGTCAATTTTTTCGTGCCAAACCACAAAACAAAATCTTAAAATCCTATCCTCTCCAGTTCAAGAACGAAAAATCTCAACGTGCTATTTTTTAAATAATTAACTGCTCGCAAAGAAAAAGCATACAGTACTTGCGTTAACATTTATGCCCTTGAAACGTTTTACATGGATGACAAGTTACTGAACGCTGTTTTAAGTTTAACTGCCGAGAGATGCTGGAAATATCAATATTGCTGTCGTTTGAATGCCAACAAAATTCAAGCTAACAACATGGTTTTAAAACAGAAAACAAAACCCCAATTTCCCTTTATATGAAATGCCAAAGTGACGCTAATCTTAGCGTGAAACGTTTGTCACATTTTCCCAAAATGTCAATAGGTATTTCTCAAACCTATACGGAACTTTCTGATGAAAACAAGCAACGCATACTAGAAGCTTCCTATTCAAACAGAAACTCTTATCAAAGTAAATTAAACCCAATGTTGGGAGCGTCGTAACTCTATTTGAGTCTGTACCTGTTGCAAAAGGATCCTTAAACGGTGGAGCTGAACTTGCAGTTGGTGATTATGTTCCTCGAGGACCTCCTCGCGCGCCTCCAGCCGTTCCCTCTGCTGTCGTAAAAAGGCCTCTCTCGCTGGGTCCTCATAAGGTACGACGCTATGTCCCTTTTGGTTCTGGCGTTGCAGGTGTTGAATGCTGTTGATCTCACCCTGTAGCGCTCTTTACAAAAGAACAAGAATGAACTAAATCAATCGTGAGTGTACTATATGAACATATAAAGTTACTTTTTCTGTAAGAATCTGGACATCTTATCTCGTAGAATTCATAAATATGGGAGTACCAACGGATGCCCAAAGTCGTAAAGTAAATTCTGCATACGAGGCAAATGGTCCATCAGGCCGGCGCTTATCTCCAATTTCTATGTAGCATGAAGCGACTAGGAGTATTTCTATTCCTCCTTGGATGGGATGCTAGTCCATCGCAGGCTTAGCCGCCAGCAGTAAATTCCCAAGAACCCATTTATACACCTGGGTGTATAGAGATACTGTGAGTGTAAAGTGTCTTGCCCAAGAACACAACACATTGTCCCCGGCTAGGGCTCGAGTCCTGACCGCTCGATCCGGAGTCGAGCGCGCTAACTACGAAGCCAGCGCGCCGACCATAAGGTGAACGTTAAGCAAACTTAAAGTAAAGGCGCATCTTCAAATCTTTGGCCTACACGTTTCTAGTTATCTTGTTTAAGCTATCGTAATCTTGCTCGTTACCTTCTTGGTTTTATCATCACCCTAATGGTGTTTTTCTAGCTTGAATTAAAAAACTGCAAGTTCTCATTTGATTTGAAGGACAGTAGAAGACCCGAGATTGGTAAGGAATTCATGCCAAACCTGTTATCGTTCTCTAAACTTGTTATCAGGTCTTCCAGATCTCGCTTCTCTTGACTGTCCATGTCTCTCTCAACTTGCGTGGTACTGGGAGACTAAAATAAACGAAAAAGCAGCAAATGAATAACACGTTTTATATAATAATCAAATCAATGCGCGCGCTCAGATTGGTCAATCAGCTATGGTTTATTGTGCCAGTAAACTCAAGGAAATTTCGCGTGTCTTCTGAATTATTATATAAAAGCAATAGACCACAAGTTTTTATGGTTTATACGCTGATAAATCACTTGTAAACCATAAAAACTTGTGGTCTATTGCTCAAATATCTTAATACAGGCTTGCTTGGGGCTTGCTAAAGAGTTATCTTAGTTCAAACTTGCCTAAAAAAAAATGGAGTTAAGCTCGCGAGGCCAGCTTAACATACTTCCACACAAACTCGTCTTGCTGTGGTCTAACTCAGATTATTAAAGACAGGAAAATAGGATAATGCAATTCGTAAGTTTTCACTGGCTTTATAGCCATAATGGTATATGACCCATTATAACATGCTCTACACATTGGTAAGCGTAGGCGTAAGTTTTTTTAATTTTATTTCAGTTTTCTAGATTTTGGGGGGCATTTTTAATAAAACAATCATTCCACTCGCACTCGTGGAATAATTGTTAATTATTTCCATGTCAAGATACATACCGCTGACTCTGGTCTATCAGTTAAGCTGCAACGAAAACAAAAGCAAAATTGATTTTCTTAAAGCTTCAGCTGGAAGTTTGGCCAGTTGTGGATGTTGTTTTTTTATAGTGTGACCAAGGAGTTAAACTCTGCAAGACCGAAAACAACGCCATCATATGCACGTGGGAGGACAGAGGATTTGAACCAGGGACTTCCTAATTTCAAATCCGGCTTATCCGTTTAGGGTACATTTATATATCAGTGCCTGTAGAGCTAGCTAAATATATATTGCAAGTGAATCAATATATGAAAGTTCTCAAATTTGAACTCAACTGGAAAGAAAAATATGAAGACATGAATAATCATCACAGTTATATGGTATACACAACTGATTTTAAGGGGAAGGTCATTCCAAAAAGCTTACTTTTACGTCTTCACCTATAGCAAGTTAACATTCAGCTTTTCCACGCACCGAAGTTTCAGCCTCTAAAAAGCCTACTGGCCTGAAGAAAATCATCTCGAAAGAAGGCCATTATTCGACTTCTGAGACCGCCATTTTAAAACTGTATTTGGCAGCCAGGCCGTGTTTATGTCAGGTCATTCCGTCCGACTCGAAACTGGCGAGAAGCAGAAAACCCTGCAACTGACTTGGCATCCTTCACAAGGTCAGCAAAATGTATTTTTTCCAAGCGATTATCCACTTCACTTCTTCACTGCTATCACTTTCGGAGTTTAGAACATGTTTGACTCAAAATGATTTGGCTTAAGAGCAGCCATAATTCAGAGTGGTAGCTGAAAGGCTTGTCGGAAGCCATTTGGACAAAATCTCTTGGACGGAATGACGTCACGAAAACGCGGCCTGGCTGCTGAGTAGTGTTCAAAATGGCGGCGACGATGGAGAAATTTTGGGCTTCTGTGGAGACGAATTTCATAGGGAAAACCTGCACTTTAGAAGCTGAAACTTCGGTGAGTGGCTAAACTTAGTGCGAGGTTTTTTATCAACGTTGAAAAAAGATAAACACTTTTTGGAGTGACCTTCTCCTTTAAGCAGTTGTGAAAATAACGCCTGAAAAAGATTTAAGCCGGAACGTTTAAGCCGGAATATTTTTCCTTTTTAAGTGTTCTTTTTAAAACTGCTCTTAGAAGCTATATCACGGTTTGCGCATCTTGAAATATTTAGCCCAAAATTTTCAAGTTCTTCGTTTGTAATCCGTGTTAATCTTCGCCCTCCTTAACCACCCTTGTTAATTTATGGTTCATTACTATCTCTTTGGTGCTTTTCTATTTTAGTAAACCATTATTTTCAGGTTTCCTTCAATTTAATTTAGGTAATTTTGCGTGGCCAAAATAACTCAAAATACCGTGAGTGAGCTCTTTTAAGTTGTGTTCACAACTATGGTCATTCGTGTCTTTACAATGCAGTTATTAAAGGCAGAGCTGTAAATGATTAGTTTCGAACTGACAAACTGAATTACCTTTTTGAATAATGTCTTATAGGACGATGTCCGTCTTCCCTAAAGAAATAAAAATCACCAGATAAAATTAAGGTGATACACATTGACAATACAACCCTTTTCATTGGTCAAGAGCGATTTTCCAAAGACTGACAAACCCAAAAGAATTCGAGGCGAAATATCTAATCAGTAGCAAGCACGCGAAGATTCGTAACTGGCGAAATGCGTAGGAAAACACACAATAACTGCGGGCAAGCACAGATGTGAAAAGCGCGCGAAAACTCATACCTGGTGGCAAGTGCTGATGTATAGTTTAACCGACCGTTAGCACGGGAAAATGTGTAACAGGAGATAAGCGCGGGAAAAGGCGCGTAGACAAAGTAACGATTCCACATCTGACTGGCCGGAAAGATAACATCATTACTCTGATTGGTTACAGAATTTTGCACGAGGTTTTTGGACCAATTGTACGGGACTTAAAACACCCATCCACTGTCGAAAGGATTTGGAGAACCACTCTAAAAAATTACTATAGCATGGATTATTATAGTGTTTAAGAGTCCGCTAAGGACTTTGCCATTATTTGACTGTTAAAATTCGTTTGACAACTTTACCTAACCCGCAATAACGCTGGTTTTTCAGGATTCTTTGCATAACCACAATCAGCGAATTTCCAGTTCACTGCCATATGAAGCCCTCCCAACAAACAGATACTACGATTGCCAGTTGAGTAAGGTGCGACGAAAGTTTGACGACCAGGTTTCAACGTTCAACTTGTCTTGTTGTCATGGGCAACCGGCTCCGATTCCAGTAGCAACTTGTCGGCCTTTGACGTCATTGGCAGCAAAGCGCGCGAAATTGTAGGCGACAATATTGTTGCCATTGGACACGAGGAAGGTTGGCCGTGGCAAAACCGTAATTTTAAGTCCAAAACTTCGTCACCAAAGCTCCGTCGCGCCTTACTCAACTGAGAATCGTAGTAAGCTACACTGCGTGGAAGCAAAGAACTTCGATTCACTTCGCTTTCTCAAATAATAACTTACATGTCAGGTCCTGCCATTACAGGCCGTTCCTTGATTACTTCTTCATCCTCTTTTGTCTCGTGGTCGCTGAGTCTAACAATTATAAAGAACAAAAAACTAAATAAGAATGAAGTGAAGAAAGCAAGGAAGGAAAATGAAGGGAGGGTAGGTAGGGAGATACGTATTAGGGGAGAGGAAGATGATAGGCAGGTAAACAGGCAAGAAGACTAGTTGACAGGCAGGGATAGAGTAAGGCAGGCTGGCTGGCAGGGCAGGCAGTTATTAGGAGAGAGGAAGGCAGACATGGAGGTGGACAGGCAGGCTGGTAGACATGCAAGTACGAAGGCAGGTAGGTAGGGAAGGAGGCAGAAATGGAGTTAGGAAGTGCTAGACGCAGGCAAACAGGCAGGCAGAGAGGCACAGAGGCAGCGAGGGATGAACTGAAGAGGGAGGAATGAGGCTGGCAGGAAGGGGGGAATTCAAGACAGACTCCATGCACAAACCTTGCTGCATAACTTCCAAGTTTGTCGTGTGTTCCTGGAAAAACCTTCATTGGAACAGAAGCATCCACGGAATCCGTACTAAAATAGCACAAAAATTTAAAACTGTACCTCTCAGAATTAAATAGTCTAACAGTTAAGAAACCATCCTCCCAACATCACCAACATTTTAATTAAACGAAAATTTAGTATTCGTGAATAATAATAAAAAAATGGTTTAAAGAAAGTTTATCCTGAAATTGTGCGTGTCTCAGGGTGGCGTAATGTTCAGCGCTTTTCGGTTCCGGATCGAGCATTCACGTTTCAAGCTCTGGCCAAGGTGTTCAGTAGTCTTGAGTTCTTGAACAAGAGACTTCTTTCTCCTGTTGCTTCTTTCCACCGAGAATAACTAGGTAATCGCCAAATAAGAACCTGACACAGCACCTTAAGACAAGCCGTTTATGCTCTTCAGAAAACTGAATAAGCTCTAGCAGTTTAGTGTTTCAGCCACTTTCGCTCGAATATACGATACTTGTATTTCAATCCCTGCTATACAATCAATCAATCAATCAATCAATCAATCAATCAATCAATCAATCAATCAATCAATCAATCAATCAATCAATCAATCAATCAATCAATCAATCAATCAATCAATCAAACAAACTTTATTCAAAGAGGGTTACACTTAATGGTTGTACAACTAATAAACCTGTGGCCCTCGATTAAGAATTAAAGGAGACTTATCATAAATATTTTTTGAGACCTAAATTAAAAATCTAAATATACAAATATATGAACATGATATAAAAGCTAAGTTAAGAATTAAATACTCGACATTACCAGTACTCAGTCTAAAAATAATTGTCTAAAAATGGAATAAAAATCCTGTCCCTAAGCTGACTTAATCTAAAATGTTTATATAGTAAATTCTTACTGCAGACAGTACTGTTTCGGCCTTCTGGGCCTCATCAGTGCAGTGCTGAAGACTGGGATGGAGGCTAAGCTTAAAAAGCCGCCCCAAATACTACACANCAATGTAAGTTAAGAGAAAAGGCATTGAAAGCGGACAACTTTTCTCACTGGAGATGGCATTAAATATTCATGAAAAGGGATTTACAATTCCCAAAACCGTATCAGATTGTTAAAAAGTGAAAAATATGAAACCAGGAGTCCCTCCTGTATGAAACATTTTGTGTCTCCAAGCTTGCAATTTGGCGCCAAAAATGGGTAGCCAACGTCCGACATGGCAACTCGCTCGTAGTTCGTAGAGTGTCGCCAGGTAGGATAACAGTTGTGTTATTTTGAACAAAATATGCTGTTCCCCATAAAATTAAACCCGGAATTCTCAAGTTAACTATTAGAAGAGACCAAAGCAACTTAAGCATTATCTTTATTTTTGTTAGCTGTGAAGAAAAAGGTTATTATCGTGTCGTTTCGGTTGGACAGCTCAGTTTTGACTGCCGCTCGTACTGCGCGCTCAGTCGCCGTAATGCAAGGTGAGTTGTGACAGTTCATTTATGTACTCAGGGCTGGCACCTATGATCCTTCTGTACGCAATTAGGCACCTTTTTATATCGGATTCTGTATACAGACGAAATTGTTTTACTTACTCGTCTTCGCCATCAGAAGGTGCCGCATCTTCCATTTCAATCGGAATAAACCTTCCCTTGGAGGGATGTTCAGGCGTCTTCTTCTTTTTCTTGCTCACTTTGTTACGCATCACTTTGGCGAAGTCTTTTATATCCTCTTTCTGCGTCGACTGTTTGAGAAAAATTAATTGCTAGTTATCGGTTACATAAGTGTATTCGGAAGTTCAATTTTAAAAACACAGTTCAGTACCTCAGTAGGTGAATACATGAATTTAAGGCAAACATGAACTAAGTTTGCATGGGAAAATTCACAATTTTTTTGTAAACCTGAGCTTGCAGTGTTTTGAATTCCACAAAACGTTTTCGTCGAGTACTCAGATAGACTAGGCTATGTAAACAAGAAGAGACAGCCGTTTTCTATTTCTTTCATAACTAAAGCCAAGAAAAAGTTCTCAGTCGAAACCTTGTTTGTGGGGCTTACTATCGGAGAGATTTCCGTGTTAAAAATTGGGGAGAGTGGAAAACGTGGCAGATATTTTACAATGGCAGCTATAGAACTTACCACAAGACAGTACTCCTGGGTGGGGTGGCCTATTTTGTGCTGCTTATTAACACGGCCAGACCAGAAACATCCCTGAATGAAACAAAATAACGGTATAATTACTGTTACGATCGAGCTCAGCCTAAACTTATAAACTTATGTGGTTGTAAATCAAGTTTATGCTGTAAATTATCTTCTTGATTGAAGTGATTCGTCTACTGGACTGGACTTGACGTTCAAGGGACAAGGGATCGGGCGTTGGTGAGGTCATCGCGTCGTGTCCTTGCACGAGACACTGCACTCTCACAGCTCATCTCACAAAGTGCGTGGATATAAGTTGTAGGTGATTAATAATAACACGGTCTAGGGACAGGAGGCTCATTGTGGTCTGTTCTTGCACAAGAGTTAAGACACTGGACTCTCACAGCGCCTCTGCCAGGATAGAAGTTAAGTGTATGCTGTACGTTCCAGCGATTCGTATGATGGAACGGATTGACAATCAGAGGACAACAAATCGAGCAGGGATAGGGTCATTGTGTTGTATTCTTGCGTGAGACATTAGAGTCTCGTAGCACCTCCAAAGTACCCTGTAAACAAATAGGTACCATAGGAGCTGCTAGGCAACCTGTCCAGGGGATATTCTGACAAAGACTAGCAGACACTACAAAGACTGGAGCTGAGCCAGCCACAACATGATTGAGACTACCATATGTAAAATGCAGTTTCTCACCTGGCACAGATCAAAGTTGAAGCACTTTAAGCATCGATATCTGGTGAAATTAAAAACGTACCGTAAGAGTGACAGAAATACAGTATAAAAGAGTGCCAAGCTTGTTTCTTCATTTCCTTATCACAGCCAAGAAGGCAAGTGACCCATTCCCAAATATTTGGCGCACCACCTAAGAATGTTCAGTAGAAAAATAACGCGAGCGTTCATGGCAAGCGGAAAGAACTTTACCAGGCCAACATGCAACCTCGTTCCCAGGGTCCTATCTCGACCCTGAGAACGAGGTTGCATTCAGTGGCAAGCATCACGCGATCTAGTTAGGTCTTGTTACTTAGCAACAACATCGTCGACAAAACCGTGGGTTTTCTCAGAGCAGCGGCGGGATTTCACGGGATTTCACTGAGCTGTAACTGGAAACTGTTTCCACGACTGGTCAAATGTCATAAAGGTTGTGGACTTACCTGAAACCCACAATAGGATACATCTTGCACACGTTGCATTTCGACTCGTGTTTCACTGTGTGAAAAAGAGTAAAACATGGTGTTAACTTCTTTGCCGTATCATCCGATTATTAGCTTACAAGAAATTTTCCTGATAAAGGCCAATTTTGATACAGTAAAATTCGAACTAGGGTTCGAAGCTTAGGGGAATAAACAAAAAAAACACAGTGAATTATTCACCCTTCAACCTAGTCACTAGGCTCCTTTCCCGAATTCCGAACAGAAGCCAGAATAAAGAGAGCCTACAAGTCACTTCTAAAAGCTGGTTTCCGTTTTTAGCGAGACTTCCTCGCGAGTCTCGCGACTCGATCTTTTCATTTTGCGACTCTCTGCTAACTGAAGAACAAGTCGACTTGTGGTATGCCTACCTTTGACCTCAAGGTGTTCTTGTTTTTCACTCTTTTTCTATAAGCCTCATAGCTAAGTAATTTTTTGTAGGCGAAGCTTTCTTAATGGAAACCCTTGTAAACAGACAATGCTACTTTTGGCGGCCAAACCCACACTCTACAGCTCTTTACAGAGTCTGTATGAATACGTGTCAAGCCTATATTTTATTTTGTTTATTCCGTCATGACTTGAGATCGGTAGTTGTTGTTTATACAGTCGAACCTCCGTTAACGGCCACCTCCCTACAACGGTCTCCTTTCTGCAACGGCCACCTCCCTACAACGGCCACTTTTTTTTGTACTGGCGACGGTCCGAACAGTCACTCTCATTTTAATCGCTATACAGCAGCCACCTCTCCGCAACGGCAACGGCCACCAAAGCGCGTCCCGAACTACCAAAATAACCTCTCCACATTAGCCAGTTAATCAACGACTGACGAACGGTGTTTACAAAATCCCATGTTATATTGTAAAAGGTGGCGCGACTTGATCCGTACCGCAGGTCGTTGGTCTCTGTTGCTGTTTGGTTGCTGTTTGGTTGCTGTTTGGTTGCTGTTTGGTTGCTGTTTGGTTGCTGTTTAGTTGCTGTTTGGTTGCTGTTTTATTGATATATTTATTACAGGTGTCATTTTACACCCCTACCTCCCCATAACGGCCACCACTCTACAACGGCCTCTTTACTCTGTTCCCAAGGTGGCCGTTGCGGAGAGGTTCGACTGTAATGGCATTAATATTCATTTGTCTGGTACGAGTGGTGCAATCTCCTACAAGCGGCCACTTCTCTCTGTTACCGCTTGAAGGAGCTCAGTCACGGTATTTTGAGTGCTTTTGGCCAGGTAGAAAATTACCTTTAAATTGAAGGAAACCTGAAAATAATAGATTACTAAGATAGAAAAACACCCAAGCGATAATAATAAACCTTAGAGAAACAAGGACGGTTAAGGATGGAAAAGATTGACACGGATTACAAACAACGACATTGAAAAATTTGGTATCACCCAGACTGTACCTGTCTCGGACACAGCTAATCTGTGAAGTGTTGGTAGCCACACTATAGTTTGTGGCTCCGCAATCATCCACTCAAGAAACTCGTCGGCAGACACTCTTTCTGGTATGGAGACCTGTGTTAACAACAAAGAAGACATGTTTGATACAGAGTCCACTGACGTTACAAACGCTGGGAGCAGATTGAAAATTCTGCTCATGACAAAGAGATGTGGTAACTGTGAAGAACAGTTCCCGAAATAACCTGTCAGCCGTCTATCGGTGGACTGTTGGCCGACTGTGGAACGACTGTTGTCCGAAAGACCGCCGACAGGTTTTGGCCAACAAGCAAACAGTCGGCCAACAGTCGGTGACGTCTCGGTAGGATGTCGGTAAATTGTCGGTAATACGTATCACTTACTTCGATTTTGTATCTCCATACTGCAACAAAGATTTATGATTAATTGAAACGAAAGGTATAACCTTCTGAATTAACCAAATGTAAACCTGCCAACGTTCTGTACATGCCTGCGGGTCAAAAACTTTAATCTCAAGCCTAGTGGCACCTATGGAAAAAATCTCACGCCTACATGTAGCTGAAAACTTTGAGCTAGCTTAATAACTAAAACTCATTTCAAAAATAACAATTTTTTTAACCAATAAAAGAGTTCATATAAATGACGGTACACTTCCTTCTAGCCTGTATGCGGAAGTACTGGCGGCGGGATTAAGGAACTCAATCACGTTATTTTTGAGTTATTTTGACCACGTACAAAATTGACCCTGAAAATAGCGGTTAACTAAGATAGAAAAACACCAAAGAGCTAATAACCACAAAGGAGGGATGGGCAACCTTTGCCATATAAAAATGTGACGGAACAAGGATGGTCAAGGATGGAGAAGATTAAGGCGGATTACAAACGACGAACCTGAAAAAATTAGGCTCAACTTTTCAAGATACGTACTGAAACGTTGACGTGACTTCTTTAATCTGCTTGGCGAAACATATAAAGGGAATTTATGCGAATATTGTATTAGTATCACCCAACTAGTGGACTAATGCAAATCCTGCATTTTGATTGGCTACGCTACTAGGGGACTATAAGTAATAGTCATCGAGTAGCGAAATTGGCGCTATCGAGCATGACGCTTTCTTTCGTTTTATTCCCAAATAAATATTTCTTCAACTTGCATTTGCTAACTTTATTATTGCCTTTTCTGTCCGACTAGTTGGGTGATACTAAAACAATTAGACCCTTCGCACTCAAGGGCCACGGGTCAATTGACCCGTAGCCCTTGCGGGTTACGGGTCTAATTGTTAAATAGCATTCAAATTCAGATTAACATTAAAAAATTTAGAACTCAAGGCTACATTACCCTTTCAAAGCAGTTTCTAACGGCTGGCTCCACACTGGATCCACTGAACGAGGTACTCTCGTCAATATACTTTGAAATCTAGACAGAAAATTTTAACATACAGTTGGTAAATGTTTGAACATGTATTCAGAGCACTTCACTGGTCAGCATTCTTCTTCACACACTCATTTTATCCCTTCAGCGACAGCCTCAGAGAATCGAAATAAATAAATATATAAAATAATTAAATAAATAAATAGACAAATTAATCAATTAATTAACAGCGATGACGTTAGCTCTTCAAAGAGCCACGCCTTTGTTAAGGGCAGAGTTGAATGTTTGACACATTTCTTCAAATATAAGGCACTTTCCATTCAATGAAAAAAATTCAACACGACGAATGGAACGGCATTTTCGGAGGTTAGCTAAAATATTTTGAATCCAGAAACCAAAACAACTCGAAGCCTAGAGATTAGCGACAAAAATCAATTTGAATACTATACCACAATAGAACAATTCCCAACAATGCGACAGAAATTTAATTGAACCTTAACGGCGCGGATAAAAGAACTCGGAGAGTAGCGGTCAGCCTAGAAAATAACTCAAAACAACAGCTCGGAGCGAAGTGGTCAGCGACAGAAATAATGTTGAATAGCTGTACAGCTACTCACAAAATAGCTCGCAGAGAAGCGGCCAGCTGTCCCCTTTTCTTTAAAGAAAAGAGGACAACCTTGAGAGGTACATGGTACCATTTGTCTCCGTTACAAAATTTTCAGAATTTTTGGTTCAGATTAATGCCGTCGGAATGGAATAATATATTGGCCACATCTCTCAAGTGTCTCACAGGGAGGCTAGCTGGATGGTTTAGGGAGAGGGCAAATGAGTGTGTGAGAAAGTTGGTTAATCTTAGGCACAACTGGTTGTCATGTCCAATACAAACTGATACGGTTCGAAACTGCGTGTAAGGTGCGTGGACACTGCGTGTAATGTGCGTGTAGTACATGCGCTTTACGCGCGTGTAATGCTGCAATCCTTTGACCGGTATTGTACAACTCAATGATCCATACAGTTTGACAGATTGTGCAAGACAGTTTTCAGTCCCTATACAATCAGAAAATTGTACCTCATCAGGGGAATTTGGAGTATAAATCATGTGTTTAATATTTAAGCGAGGGGGTGAAACGGTTTGTCGATCCGTACAGTTTGTAAGTTTGTACTAATCGTAAACGCAATTTACGGTCCGTATATGGTCCGTAAAATACATCTCATTAAGGGGACTAGGTATAATTTTCCGACCGTACACAAATCAACAGGAGGAGAACAGTGAAAAGAGAGCTTAAGGAGAAAGGATTAAAATCTTGGGCAGAGGCGGCACCAGCTGCAGAGGATCAGACAGCCTGGAAGCCTAGAGGCGACAGCCCAATTCTCCACTAGGAGACCAGAACAATGATTATGACACAGATCGTAAACAGTCTTTTACCGTCTGTTAAACCGTACAGATCCAAAAGTTGTTTTATTTTTGAACCATATCAGATTGTGTATATTGGACAACCCTGGTTATTTCACCCAGTTATGGGTATTTTCACAGCTGCAGGGATTTTCAGTCAAGATATAATCATTGGGCTTGAAATCAGAAGTGGAAGGTCTTACTAAAACACAGTCAAGATAAATCTGGTTTAAGCCACACAGTTTCAATAAAGCAATTTTCAATTGAGTGCTGTAAAACCAAAACCAAACCAGTTACTTACCAATAAGACTACAAAGCCAATCTCAAACCGTAGTAAAACCAAAGGCAATTCAAGTGATTGCCTGAGTACTTTTGACACTCAATTGTAAACTGCTCTAAGTACCCTTTGCGTAAATTAAGCCAGCTAAATTTTGTAATACACCCTGGAACCATCCCAGTACCTGTAACATCTCTTGCAGGAACAATTTCAGCCTTTTTCTGTCCAAAAATCTTTGGCTATTACAAAACTGTGAAAACAAATCTTTGGAAAAAACAAACATGTTTATTGACATATTTAAGGTATACAGTATCAAAACTGAATCCCAATGATACAGTTCCAGGGGGAGGGGGAGGGGGGAGGGTACTCCCATAGGAAAAGGTCAGTCTCGCTTAGGGGTATAAATCAAGGATTCTGGTCTCACTTTGACTTAGGGTGCTCATGATGAAACACCATGTGCAGAGTCTATTTTTAGCTGTCAAAGTATCTTTTAGGGTGCAATCGAAGAAATAATAATAAAAGAAATGCTCCTATTTCTGTGTTTACAATAGGCTTGATTTCTGTTGGTCTCTCGAGTCCGGTCTGGTAGCCCGGGCTCCTTTCTTAAACAGCAGCTGGTAATCAAGCATATGTTGTTTTAATTGGTATCCTTCAGGGATCAAATAAAGCTTGAACCACGCCCAGATTGGTCTCCTTTAAGGATTTAATTCCAATTTAAAGACAAGCCTCCCCGACCTTTTCATTTGGGAGTCCCACCTCCCGGGATATGGTCAACTCTCACTTCTCCAATCCAATGACCCTCATGTACTAAAAGAAATTTGTATCAACCAACATGTTTATGTACCAACTAAATTACTAGCAAACTAAATTCAATTTAAAGCTAGTCCAGTACATTGTGTACACCTACAGGAGTATTTTTCTTGAACCTTTTCAGAGCACATCACAGAGAGACCAACCTTCAGTGAAAGAATTGGTACAAAACCCGTTCTTCCCCTGTAATTAAAAAAAAAAAAATTAGGGCAATTATATTTTAAAATAGAAAAATTATCATGGCTTCCTTGTTGATGTTCCCTGAAAAACTAATGGAAAGTACTATTGACCTTTGTACTTTAACATTGACCTCAAAAGACTTTTTTTACATTTGAAATTTGTTAAATAAATTAAAATTGATATGATCGATTAGTAATTAATAATAGTAATAATAATAATCATATCTATAACAAAATTCTCTATCGTGATTGGCTCTCCTCGCGCTTATTTGTCACGTAATCTGTGCGTGATCACATGGGTGTCCAATTACAGGTATCCAATTTGAACTTTTTGTAATTGGATACCTGTTAAGTGGAAACCCAATTGATTCGCATGTCAATTACACACGCTTTAATGGCTTCTTTTGCAATGTTTCACACAGTTTTCAAAACTTATGAAAAGCGCTATGGACGTTTTCGCTCAAAAGAAGTTCTGAAAAGACATTTTTAATTCCAAAATTTAGGTAAATTTGTTATAGATACGATTAATTATTAATTGGACCTTGTGTCGTACAATTCAGGGAGTGATCCTGCTCTTAATTTCATATCAGCCTTGCGTTTCGCGCTCGTCCATTTTTGAAATTACTCGCATGATTACTCCCTAAATTGCACTCCACTTGGTCCAATTACTATAATAATTATAAATCATATTTATATAGTGACATATCCTAAGTTCATGGTGCTTTACAAACTAAGAAAAAAATACACAAACAAGTAAAGACATAACCAAGTAAAAATAATGGGACCTTGTGTTGTATAATTCAGGGAGTAATTGCGCAGATTCATTTCAAATCGCCCTCTCGCTGTGCACTCATCCATTTTTGAAATCATTAACCAGTTTACTCCCTAAATTGTACTCCACTCAGTCCAAAATTACTATTACTGGCAATTATTATCTAAGTTAAGTTAGAAAAATAATGGCTTCCTTGTTAATGCTTCCTACAGTTTCAAAAACTTATGGAAAGCACTTATTCCTATACCTCAAACGAAGTGCTCAGACGACTTTTTTTAATTTTGAAATTTGTCTGACTCATTGATACAATATAACTAGTTATTGGACTTTGTGTTGCATAATTCAGGAAGTAATTGTGCAGATTCATTTCAAATCGCCTTCGCACTATGTGCTTGTCCAATTTTGAAACCAATCACCTGATTGCTCCCTGAATTGTTCTCCACTCAGTCCAACTTCACTAAATTATTACTAATCATAATCACCAAGTGAACGTAACATAGAAGTCATCTAAAATTTAATTAACAACAGCAAAGAAAGAAGTTACATTAAATTTTAATTATACAGCAAATATCCAACTTCAGTTTTGTAGTTTTTGTTATTGCGTCAAACCTTATAATATTTCTGTACTTACGGGTCATAGACATTCAGAATCCAGTTAAGCACCAGTTCACTTGCAAGGGAGACATCTATGGAACCATCACGGCTACCAGTTTGATTGTGATTGTCAAAGATATTGGCAATGTTTCTTGTAAGTTCAGGTACAGACAGGTTTCCCTCCACATAGCCATTCTCAATTCCTTCCAGTCTCAGGGACTCTTTTATTACTTGTAAATCAACCATGTATACTACAGAAACAAAGATACAAAACAATAGTCAGTCTTTAGAACTGGACTGTACATGCACATGTATTGTCTTATTAATAAGTATTTCACCAGTTGACATAAAATCAGCAAAACTTCAATGGCTAGGATAAATATTTACAGGTACATAGATGGATATACAATGTAGCTAAATGAATGAAATTTGGACTTTTTTGTCAGTCAGTGAGTAATTTTGTCGTAATTATGTTAAAAATTTGTCAGCCTTGTTCCAGCTATCGACGGGCTCTAGATGATTTTAAGTATTAAACCATTTGAGACAGTACATTATACATGTACAGTGTTATGCATATGAACAACTTAACCACTTCCTTGTCATACAAACTGTCTGAGTGCATACTCTGTTCTTGCTATTAAAACTGTGCACACATGTCCGTGTGTAACCAATTGTTAAAACGACAGCACATTCATGCATGTATTACATGACCTGACTATATAGTTATGTTTTCTGAAAGTTGAACATACATTGAGTTTTCTTCTGAATAGCTCTTAGTTTCATCGCCGTGCGGTATGCAGCATACTTGATGTTACTCAAACTCTCTACAATAGATGAATAAAAATCACATTTATTATTATCGCTAGTCTGGAAACACTAACTAAACAGTAATTTGGGTGTAATAGGATCTCAAATAGATCTTACTAGCGAATGCATGCGTAATATAGTCTTTTAACTCGTCTAAGAAGTCAATTCAGTAAGAGCAATCTTGATACATGGTTATTGTAGATATACATGTACTGTCGGTCTCTTGGTCAGTAGCAACTTTACCGAATACTAAGTCAGTTCTAAGAGAACTATGGTACTTGACTGTATGTTACAACTGGCCATAGACTACATGTACATGTAAGGGTGACTTCGTGAATTTGCATCAAATGATTCTTATAACAGTTTTCAACTGATGGAGTGTTGTAAAACCAAAACCAATTGAAAGTAATCACTCTAGAAAATTACAAAGGACACAGATACAGTACAAGTAATCCAAAGAACCACTCAAAACTCACAATAAATTAATACATAAGCACGGGAAAATGGGCTGTACTGATCAGTTTGGTTACTACAGTCTACTGATTGGATGAAAAAGTGGTGCAAGATTTTTAAGCTAATTGTATAGTGAAGAAATGCAAAACCAATTACTTTTCGACGCTGATTAGAAGTGAAAACACTCTGTGGTGACAATATTAAGTAATAAGAGGTAGAAACTGTCATGGGCCATGCAGTGCTTTTTTGGCTGTTTGTAATTAATGCATTTTGTTAAAAGATTCTTATTATGAGTAATCCAAAGACTTGTTTACCTATTTCCTCCATTAAACTGACCATCTCTGGATGATCCCATTGAGTTCTCTCTGTTTCATGACTTTTAAAGTAAAAAGGAAAAAGTTTAGGTTTGAAAAAGTCTACTCCAGTATAGTACCAAGAGATTAGATTTCTGTATAAGAACATCACACAGTGACCTGGGCAGTTGGGCTATAACCTACATATTAGAGGATAATTATATACCTGTCAATCCAAAATGAACTCTATATTCAATTATTATATGGCTAGCTATAACTCCACGCAGATGCAAGATGAACTGAATCCTGTGCTGTGATTGGTTACCCAAGCAAGCAAGATGGCGCTATACACGTACATGACGTATCTTGCACACCTGAATTTACCCACTGTGTCCCACAAGAAAAAAGTGTTCTT